AAAAGGAACATTAATGGCATTTCAAAGACAAAGAAGAAATAAAATAATTTCTCACACCACTTACCTTTATAGTCCAAGCTAAAATCCAGGTTCAGGAAGGAGTTTCCTAAAGAAAAACAGCATAAGGAACGTTAATAGCGTTCTAAAGACAAAGAAAAATAAAATAAAATTACAAAAAAAGAAGCAAAAAGAATATTAATGGTATTCCAAAGATAAAGAAACAAAAACAATCCCACATCACCTTACCTTTATAACCTAAGCCAAAATCCAAGTCCAAGAAGGTGTTCCTTAAAGAAAAGAAGCAAAAGAAACATTAATAGCGTTCCAAGACAAAGAAAACAAAAAATTCCACAAGAAAAGCAGCAAAAAAAATGTTAATGGCATTTTAAAGACAAAGAAGAAACAAAAACAATTCTTCATACCACTTACCTTTATAGTCCAAGCCAAAATCCAGGTCCAGGAAGGCGTTCCCTAAAGAAAATTAGCAAAAGGAATGTTAATGGTATTCTAAAGACAAAAAAGAATCCTCCACACTACCTTACCTTTATAGCCCAAACTGAAATTCAGGTCCAAGAAGACGTTCTCTAAAGAAAGAAGCAAAAGGAATGTTAATGGCATTCCAAAGATAAAGAAAATCAAAAACAATCCTCCACACCACCTTACCTTCACAGCTCAAGCAGAAATCCAGTTCAGAAAGGCGTTTCCTAAAGAAAAAAAGTAAAAGAAATGTTAATAATGTTCCCAATGATAGAAAAAACAAAAACACTAACTTACCTTCATAGTTCAGCCAAAATCCAGGTCCAAAAAGACGTTCTCTAAAGAAAAGAAGTAAAATGAAAGTTAGTAACATTTTTAAGACAAAAAAAGGAAGAATTTTGTACTTACCATTTGAATTCAAGCCATTCAAGTTAAAATTTGGAGTAAAAGGTCTAGGAGGAGAGAGGGAGAAAGAGGAGAGAGTGAGTGAGTGTGTGTGTGTGTGTGTGTATATATAAGTGTGTATATGTATTATGTATGTGTGTACGTATGTATGTGTAAGTAAGTGATGTAATATGTAGATTTAATATTATTGTTATTGTAAAATAAAAAAAATTTATGCTTACCTAAGTCGAATTGACTGTTCAATTTGTTCACTGGATATCTGATGATCTATTTGGTCAATCTGGTAATATAAACAGATCAATCTGAATCTGGTTAAATTTCAGATGGTTGACCAGATATCTGGATTGATCAGATTCAGAGCACACCTCTACCTGTAACACTGATGACTACTATTGTTATTAGTATAAATATTAATTGATTTCAGTTGTGAAGGTGATAACGTTGTAGCGTTAGAACAGGAAAAATTCACCTAGGAAAACTTTCTGAGACGGGGTTAATTTTGTAAAGTTGCAGTTCGTTAAATATTCAACATTATCATTATAATTATTATTGTTAAGTTTTTATTCATAGAATATGATTTTTCAAATACATCAGTTTATTTCCTCCATAACTATTGTCTTCACAAGAAATTTAATGAGTTGCACCCATGAAAAATCATCGAAATTCTAGCAGGTAAGATGAATTTCCAGCCAAATAAATATAATTATCTACATAATATAATAACTTTGTGAGTTGTACTAGTAAAGACGACCAAACCACTTGTAAAAGGAAAGTAGTAGCAATAAATATCAAGGGAAAGTATCATCAACACTAAAGCCACCAGTAATGATTAAATAGACCAAAAATATTAGTAAAGTGATAATACAACCATTCCAACTAATTTCAAAATATAATAAATTACATAGAACAATAGAATATACCACAAAGTTATGATACAAAAATTAATTCCATCAATTATGTATCGTAGAGATAATCCATTTTCTTTTTTTGTAACAATAATACTTTAAACTCACCTGGTTTATAGTTTTATATATCACCTTTGGTACATAATTCATTTTACGTTCAGGAATGTTCTCAATATCCATTATTTTAGTGCTTGATATGATATAAGAATATTCTGACAAACAATTTACTCCACCAAATATTGATTTATAGGATTTTCCAAGATGATGCGAAGTATATTATTCTAACTCATTTTCATATTCGCTATTTTTGTTTTCCTACAAAGTCCTATAAATGTTAGATTATGTTTTATTAATGCCACACATCTTACTAAAACTATCCTTTAATCATAAGTATTATCTCGTATTTATAAGGTATTGCTCCCGTTAATTTTCGTATAATTCAAATTTTAATATTGTCATACGTTCGTTAAAAAATATATTGCTAAGCCATTTTATTAATATAAGCTGTGAATCTCATTTACCACGATTACTGGCTTTAAGCCCTTTTCGTTCTTCAGGTATGCCAGTCTTATTAATAAACACATTGGAAAATAATGTCCATTACAATTATATATCTGATAATTTGTATTACTTTTTACTTTCTCCTATGGCTAAATAAAACTTGTGATATCTGAGACTCAAAACTAGATAATTGAACAGTTCAATTAAATTTTCGTATATCTTTGGAGTTATTTTATCATTATCTGATCCGGTTATGTCACCATTAGCGATTACCATTAATAATTTATGCTTATCAGAATAATCCATATTGAATGTTCACCTTCCGAATAATACGTGACTAATAATAAAATGTGTGATATTGTATCATTGATTTTGGTTTCTTCGATATTTTACCAAGATGCCATAGTAGAAACTAATCAAATGCCTATAGCGGAAAATAACTTAATTAAAGAATTCTTTTGAATACATCTGTTCATTATTTAATCTATTAGCAAAATATCCGATGGTTGTTCTTTCAACATCTCCTGCTTAAAATTAGATAAACATTTTTTTTTCGATTGAACCTAAAAAATAAAACCAATCAAAAGTCAAAATAAAGAATAATTACAAATAAAACCAGAGAAATCAAATCGCATCACAGAGCAAAAATAGTGAAAAAATTAAACTTAAAAACTGAAGTGATTGATCCAATAAAAAAAATAAAAGTGTCATTAGTGAGGTAATAAAAAGTAAAGATTTTTCGATGGTACTGAAGAGAACTTGAATACAAATTTAAAATACCACTTTTATTAATAAGCTGAATATCCTGTTCAGATTTACAAGCCTTTTCATTTTGACAATAATCAACATGTTGATGCCTTCCTAAATCTTTACAATACTAAGATTGAAAAAAATTGAACAAAAAATTATAAGATATTTGAAGAAAAAATATATACATCATTTATCAAAAATATATACACTGCCCTACTATAAATTACCGGATTTTATAAATATTACTTAGTAATATCGATATATAGTAAAATTGAAGATTTTTAGATTATATAAAAGTTTATGAATTTTTAATAAAATACACATTAGATTTTTTACTTAATAGCCAATCAATTATAATTTTAAAAATATAATTCAAAAATATTCTATTTATAAAATGCCAAAAAATACTCATTTTTAAAGTAATAAATAAAATAATTTTATATATATAAAAAATGCAAAAAACATATAAAAAAATAGTTGCTTATATTCAAAATGAAAAAAGTTTTTCATGTTTTAAAAATTTTCTTTTTTCATTTTAATATCTAAAAACTATAATTGATCAGCTATCAAATAAAAAAAAAAATCAGTTGATTTTTATTGAAAATTAGTAAACATTTATATAACTTGAAGATCTTCAATTTTACTATAAA